AGTTTCTCCTTCATACTTCTGTGGGAAGTCTTCAAAAAAAAAAAAAAAGAAAACAAGCAGGGGCTCTTATGTTTATCTAGTTTTACAACTTCTGTTACTACTGTTTGGAACATAGCTGTAGACCATTAAAGATGGACTGCCTTTGTAGAAGTGAGATACTTCCAAGTTCAATTTCTGTGGCACATATTTATGTTTCCCAGAAGACTTAATGAGAAACATTTACAACAATACTGCTTGCCACCCCTGAAGTCATACCTGACTCTTGGTTTGAATGGTTTTTTCCAATCTATTAATTCATAAGAGGGAGGTGCATGGATCAGGCCCAGAGACAACCACAGGAGACTTTTTTTATATTTACTATACAGTCATACCAAAAGCAAAGGCAGGACCTTAGTATTATAAGCCTTTCAGCAGTGTGCGATGCTTCATGAACCTATAGGCAGGAAAGCTCAGAGAAAAATGTGACGGTGCAAATTAAATTATCAGTCAATACAAATAATTTTTAAAATGCCACTACATTTTGTAAAAGAAAATGTCACTCGTGTCTCAGCAGGCTAACAGCATAATTCCAGCTAGTTTCAAAGGAGACTGGAACAGGCCCTCCTAAAAGCATCTCTTCAGGGGACTGTAGAAATGAACTTGATATTCTTATCCTGGCTTTCAGTGGTACACAGAAGCCAGGATTGATCTGGGAGCTGTTTAGCACATCAACACGGCACAGAACTTGATGTGTATGTCCTGATGCTGAGCAGAGATAATATACAGGAATAAAACTGGAACATGCAGGCAAGGAGCATACATGTTAGGAGTGGATTGAGCCAACCCTGCTCCTTCACCCCCAGACCACGGACAAGTTTACCAGGGACTAGTGCAGGGATGTGATCTGCCAGGCAGCCGGGAAGAACATTGGCCAGTTCCGTCAGGAGGCTGAAACAACCCTGTCTTGATTTGATGCTCTTTTCTTTGAGCTGCTTGTGCAAGGCCTTGACGATGCTGGGGACCTGCAGTTTGGAAAAGAAAACCAGAAAGAAACACATCAGTCATCCCAGCTTCCACGGCACAGAGCTGTGCTACCAAAGCAGCTTGCTCAGCTGAGCCAGAGGCACTAACAGTACAGCAAGAGAACTAACAGCAAGAAACAGTGCAGCTGTTCATCAGCAAACGGACTTGGGATAGATTACAAGACAGTGCACAGGAAGAAAAGATACATGAACAGAAAAGCTGGAGGGGACTTCATTCTTCTTTTCCACATTCTATAAACAGACTTCTAAGCAGCCCTTCCTGAAGTTGGTGTTATCCCCTAACATAGAACCTTAAAGAAACACAACAAAATGATCAGACCAGGACACACTGCTAAAAGAGCTTAGAGTTTTATGATTCTTTCCTGGCCTGCTGTTCAAGGATCTAGTCCCATCGCTATATTTAAACCTGGACACCCTGACAGTGTTTCAGTGAAATCAAAAAACAAATCACAGGACTGAGGTGCAAGTTATTTAAATAAATATCTCATACATATAAGATGATTAATCAGTGATGTAATTACATTTTGGCAGGGATTTTAACCCTCCTGCTTCAAGGACTCACCAGTCAGTAGTAGCATCGGCCAGAAAAAGCTGCTCTCACAGTCATGCTACTCTATAACAACATGGTTATTTCCAATGTTTCTTTTGTCTTCTTCTAAAATGGCATGTGCGGACCACAGCGTTAGCAAGGATCCTGGGCTAGGCAGAGCCCTGATCAGCATGTGTGGCTAAATTATTCTGATTGTAATTACTCCAGCATATTTCTGAACTAAAGTAGTGCGTCAGAAAAGTTGCTTCCACTATTGTTTGTCTGATCAGCAGTGATGTACAGACTGGGTGCGCAACCACAGCAAGCTACCCTGGAAGCCACTGGCTGTTTTCCCATAATGAACCAAGCTGCACGCTATCATATGCCTACTGACCAGATCCAAACCTTACTGAGCTTCCAGTGGCTTACTCTGATACGCTTCTACCACGATGCATTCAATGAGTTTCCTGAGCAGCAGCTGGAGTAATGGTCAGGCAACACAGACACCTTACCCAAAGGCTAACCTGTCTCACACACAGTCTGCAAACACGTGCCGGAGGCTAGCGGAGTGGGGCAATGCAGGTTATACCTCAGCGCTTCCGCACTGGCTCAGCGCTCTCTCCCTGGGAATGGCAGGAGACAAACAATAAACGGGCAGCCCTCAGGATTTGGTCCCCTCTGGTTGTGTGCCCAAGGGCTCCTTCAGCTAGCTATGTTCTCAAGCTTAACTACTAGGCATATTCATCGGTGGCATGGTACATACTTCTCTTCATTGCTTTCAGATTCAATCCAGCCCACCATCTCCTCACGCACCTGGTTCTGAAGCATTGTCAGGGGAACGTCGTCTTTGCCAGAGGCATCTGAAGCATGCAGCCAGCTCTGGATGGGCAGCGTTTGCTTCAGCAAGGAGATATAAGCACTGAAGATGTCAGCTTTGACATTCTCCTCTCTCTCTTTGAATCTGCTTATCAAAAGAAGTCCTGAAGAAGATCATGCCTGCTGCTCACAATGGCCTCCAGGCACTTCGCTGCAGACCTGCGGACTTTCCAGCTGATGTCATCATCGTCGCTGTACTCATCATCGCTTTCTGGAAAGAAGACAAGGGAAAACAAGGTGCACCATTATGAGAAAACCAGAGCTAGAGGATCACTTGATCCTCAGAGCTTCCCTCTCCAGCTGACCAGAAAAACAAATGCCAGTAACTCACACACATCTGGGAACATAAAATTGTCCAGAATAGCCTGTCCCTACAGACGTCATTACCAGCCAACATGACCCAGGGCTGCCCTGTGTCATATTCTTCTGTTCCAAGTAAGAGCTGATGGAGAATAAACCTTAATGTTACTACCCTTACTGGCCGCTTCAGCTCAGGTATCAAGGCTTTTGTTTTGAAGGGAGAATGAGGCTCCCAGATTTTAAACCCAGAAATATGTAAATATTTGTCTTAGCAATTCCTGAATGGCACAAAACAGTGTAACAATTTACTATGTTATTGATAGAACATTTAACATATTCTCCAGGAAGCCAGCCAGGATCTTACCCCAATTAGTATGAAAGCAAACAAAAATACCTTTCTTCCAGGGAACTTGTTCTAACTTTTGCTCTTAGCTGCCACACTATATGCAACTATAAATAGAGACATTATGAAATGTTGTCTACAGCTAACAGGCATTAAAGGTACCCCTCCTATCTGACAAAGGCTCAACGCCCACCTCAAAGTCAACACGATTCAGAAAATAAGGGAAAGGTCTGTTTTGAAGACAGTATCAGATAGCTTTCACTGATGACCAAGACGTTTTTAGTGGTGGACCAAGATGTTTTTAATGGTGGCACTTTTAAGTGTTCAGGATTGTAGTTTTGCTTTCTTCTGTCACATAGTAAAAATATGATTGTGTGGCTACTATGTTTGTAGGCTGAGTTAAGTTGCCCTGAAACCGTTAAATCAAAATTGCAGGCTTTCATTTAAAGTAGCAGTTAAGCATATACCTCTTCCTGCAAAAAAAAGCAACAAGCCTCACAAAGAGGGGCACATCTGCACAAGTACAGGCTCTGTAGCTGCAAAAATGAGCTTTGGCTGGCTGTTGTGCTCAGGAAGAGC